TTCTGGCTGTAGGTAAAACTGACAGAGATCACGATAGTTTCCTTTTATCTCCTCCAGGTTGCAATGACTTGTTATGATGAAATTCGATCTGATCTGGGAGAATCTTGCTTGATTTGGAGATTATAGGACATTGGTACTTCAATTGGTGTACTGCCTACAATGACAGACATCATCTTCCTCCCTTCCTGTTCTATAAATGGAAGGTCCCTCCTTCTCATCCTGTAAGGTGTGTTCTGTCCTCTTGTATGGAGTTTTATCTAACATGCTGCCTTCTCCTGACTGGTTATTGTATGAGTTAAAAAAAAGAAAATACAGGTGACCTTTAAGAAACCTTTAGCTAAAATATTTCTACATAGTGTGGGGAAAAGGGAAGGGTAGATAGGCAGAGAGGGAAAATTAAAAGAGTATCCACAAAGATGGTCAGGTAGAGTGAATATCTTAAAGGGAGACTTTTCTGACATACTCAAGGCTCTCAGAGGCCTGAAATTGCATTGAAGGAGACCTCAGGTTAGGCTGAGGCTAAGCTTTAGAGCTCCTATCAGGGACTGAAAATAAGGAGATCCAAAGAAGCTTTCTAAATTATTCAGTATCTACAAATTTTCCTGTTAATTTGAAAGCTTGCCATTTTATGCACATTATATAGACAAATAATAGCATAGCTAGTTAATTTCTAGTCAACAGTTTACAAATAGTTTTGCTATATATTTATTTAATGAACAAGCTTGGATGTGATGTTACTGGGAATCTTTTACGTGGAGGTCTGGTGCATCCTAATCACACATCTTGCACTGATACAAACAGCATCACTCACCTTGAGGCATGACCTCAGAAGGAAACAATCCTCATTTGGGACTTGCCTGAAATTCCAGACACATATCATTCATTACATGTTTCTGTTTCCACACTTGTGATCTGTAATCTCACTAATATGAAACAGAAAAACTAAGGAAATATGGTGCCATCATATTTCTGGTGCTATGCATCATTTTACATATATATATATATATGTATATATATGTATATGTATGTATATATATGTGTGTGTGTGTGTATATATGTGTGTGTGTGTGTGTGTGTGTATATATATTATATATATATATATATGAATTTCCACCCTTCAAGAATCCTTGTAATTTCATCTGGGAGTAATTGTCTACCATTGCAAACTGCATTGCATCTCTGCCTTAATAAGTGGGTTTTTGGGGTTGTGTGGTTTGAAAAATCCAATTTCTAAAAGGCAATTTTCTGGTGATGAAACCCTTGGAACATGGCCCTTTTTTTGGACAACAGACAGGGTTTGTTTTGGGGATCACACTTGATGTCTTATTAGATCTGTAGGACCTCCCAAAGACTGTGCTTCTGACAAGATACGGTCACCTCCATGTATCTGAGGAGGGCTACTGAGAATGCATTAGATGTATAAGAAGTTATACATCACATTTACTTCATCACTCCCTTGGGATTCTGCTCCACTTTAGATGAATGGTTACTTCTGATTAGAAAGTTTAAATACCTAACCAGAGTCTCAAACTTTTTATAACAACTTGAGCTAAATGCAATGTCATCCCTGAAGTAACTATAATAAAATGCAGTGTGATACATACAGTGAAAAGTTCTGGGTTTTGGATCCTAAGACCTGTGTTCAAGTCCCAATTCAGTCTCTTACTGGCTACATGACTTTTGGCAAGATACTTCTCTACTCTGAACATCTGTCTCCTCACCTGTGAAACTGGTATAGCACATGTCACCTTTACAGTAATATCTCTCAGGATCCAGTGAGATGTTACATATAAAACACATCATGAACTACAGTAGCATGTAAGTGTAAAACACTACTGTTAAAATGTATTTTGATGAGAAATTAAAAATCAACAAGGTATTTCAGTAATACAGATACACACTTTGGTAATGGTTCTCTTCGTCAATCATGAAAATTGTGTTAGAATATTACAATATGGGTTAAGGAAGCAGATATTCAAAATACTCATCATCAGTTCCTACACATGGGAATCATGAACCATGGACCGACAGAGGTGTACATGCTTCTATACTTTCTTTTCACACAACTCACAGGTAAATAAAAATCTAATAACAGACTCTGCCTTGGATGTCCTGTGTAACCCTGAAAATGGCCACAGGTGCTATGATGGTTCAGAATCAAATTGCTATCTCCTGCCTTTATAACTTAATATAATTTCCTGTATTTTTTTTAAAAAGCTGGACAACTGTCATTGTCATCATCACTACAGCTAACATTTATGTACTGCTTTAAGGTTTGCAAAACACTCTACAGATACTGTTTCATTTGATCACCACAAACCCCCTGTGGGGTAGGTGTTATTCTTATTCCTGTTTTATAGATGAGGAAGTTGGGGGCAGACAGAGAAAAAGTGAGTCGCTCAGAGTCACACAGCTAGTAAGAGTCTGAGGCCTGATATGAACTCGGGTCTTCCTGATTTCTGTCATTTGAGTTTGTCATTTAAATTCACATGGGAATTAATGAGATCATATTAATATTCTCACTAATTCTAGTAGGCTGGCTGAGAGGTTGGCATAACGAATAGCACAGATGCTACACTGGTATCTTTGAAATGTAAAAGACTGACATGATTATATACAGCATTCTCCACGAAGGATTTTTCATATGGAAAAGAACAAAACAGAATGAGAAGATGTGCATGGGCTGTAATCTGCATCATTAGAGGAAGTACTCATATACATGAGGCCCCTTAGAGTACCAAAGTGAGCATAAATGTTTGTGGGAGGTGACTTGGTTTGGGTCAATGTGGCAATCTTGACCCAAATGCATCTAGGTTTTTCACAATAAAATAGGAGGCTGAACTCAGAGATACTGAGAAATCTGAGACAGTGGGGAGTTTCATATTAAAATTATACAGTAGAACACATATAACCAAATAATTCATTACTGTATTGAGAGAAGTCATGGTTCTAATTTATTTTCCTTTGACAGCAAGGATCATATCTACTGAGTTTTTATTCCTTTCTAAAGAAATATTACTAAAACCTTTTGTTTTTATATCTTTCATTTCATATAAATATATGAATACATACATATGTATAAATGTAAGTATACATTCACACACACACATACTCCTCTCCCCCAGAAAATCATCTACTGTAATAAAGAATAAGGGAGAGGAAAAAAAAGAGTTCAACAAAACTTAAAAATACACACATTCAGTCTGAAGGTATAGGCAATGTTACATACTCATTGTTTTTCTGAACTCTTCTTAGGGACCAGGCTTAGTTATTATAATTATACTCTACTCAGGGTTTTTTTTGACGGGCAGAGGGTGTATGGGAGTTCTCTCCACTAACATTATCGTAACTGTGTTTCTTGTTTTACTGGTTCTGCTTATTTAATTGTGCATCAGTTCATGTAAGTCTCATGCTTCTCTATAATTTTTTTTTTTTAGGCAATTGGGGTTAAGTGACTTGCCCAAGGTCACACAGCTAGTAAGTGTCAAGTGTTATGTGTCTGAGGCTGCATTTGAACTCAGGCGCTCTATCCACTGCGCCACCTAGCTGCCCCCTATAATTTTCATAATCACCATTTCTTACTGTGCAATAATATTCCATTACTTTCATGTACCACAATTTGCTTAGCTACTCACTAATTAGTGGCCATCTACTTTGATTAGAGTTATTGCTTCTACAAAAACTGCTACTATAAAATATTTTAGTGTTTCTCTCTTTGATTACCTTGGGGTATATGTCAGATAGAAAAATTTGTGGATCAAAGGGCATGGATATTTTAGGCACTTTATTATTATAATTCAAAACTGTTAAATGGAATGGTTAGACCACTTTATAGCTCCATCAAAAATATATCAGTGTTCTTGTCTTTCCACAGCCCCTCCAACACTGACTATTACTACTTTTTGTCGTCCCTGCCAATCTGAACAATGTGAGGTGGAGCCTCATTACTTAATATTTTCAAGAGTTAAGTATCAAGTCATACCTTCACACCTTCGATTCTTTAGTATGCACCAAATCATCAAGCAAAAAAATTCTTTAACCCAAAGCAGATTTAAAGTTCAGCTGGACATTGGCCACTAGAAAACTAACAGTATTAATGTTTAAATGAAATTAAGGAAGTAGCCCATGGTAACTCTCCAACCATCCCTCTTCCATTCACTGCTCAAGCCTTCCTCCTTTCTCTTTTGCACGTGGGGTAAGTAGAAATGTTTTTTGTCCTGTTTTTACTGCTAATCAGACAGCCTATCAGCTTTCAAAGTATAAGTTCGGATAAAAAGTCAAAGACTGACTCAGGTAAAAAATGGATCTATTATAACTAATTTAGGGAATGAGAAATCATAGCAATATTTGAATTGACAGAGAGAAATTAAGAACAATAAATAAAACTTGGAACTATCTGAGAAGCTCATATCTATGATCTTCCAAGACTTAGGAAAATAAGAACTAAGTTCAATTGCTACTTTAATTGCCTGAACTGCTGGAAAAAAAGACTATTGGGTGTTTATAGAGAGAAAGAATGACTAGGATGGGAGGCACTGGTCAAGATGAGAAATCAGAATAATGATCCTTTGATAGCCTTTAAGATTTTTTTTTAAGAACTCATTTGTTATTTCCCCAGTCACATTCTGAAAACCTTTATGGTTTGGCATATCTCTTTATCTGTTTTCTTTATGCATTGAAATGTACATAAAGTGAAAAGATTAGAAACAGCAAGCAATAATAGCATGTAATTAGCATCTTACATTTAGTAGGTAATGTCTATAGCCTTTAATCCCAGACTTTTCACTCTAAAACTCTGCAGCAAATAGATATGCTTATGCATGTATGGCAGATATATATCTATATCTATATCTATATATCTATATAAATTTTTTTTTACCCCAAGGAAGAGTAAACTAGAGAGGCAGGAAAGGCAGAGAAAAGGATGAATGATCAGAAGCACTTTTTTTCTTTATAGACCAGTTATTTTTAGTCATCATGGTAAAGCGAATTCTACTCACATCGTTAGATCTGAATTTTTGTTTTTGAGAATATACAGTCCAATCCAAAAGCATAATTATTGGCTCGGTAAAAAATACTGAGGTTTCATTTCCAGACCAGAAGGTTTCAAGAAGAAAAGCCTGTTCTGGGACTTTTAGGCTCTGAGAATCTGCCTCTTCATATAACCTAGGAAAAAAATGAACAAAACTTAAATGTAAGTTAATTTGATTATTGTAGTTACTTGGGAGAAAGTATCAAGTCTCTTGTCAAAACACAAACAAGTTTAGCAGTTTTTAAATATAGAACTATCACTATTTTTGATGAGTCATGTGTAAAGTAACAATGACAATCAGTCAAACTGAAATAACTCAAATGCTATGCTAAAGTTGAATAAACAGAATTATAATAATGAAGAAGAGATGAAAAAACAGAGTATCAGGCTATAAAACAACCAACAATGCATATGTATTGGATGTTCAGTTTCAGAATATGGAGATGAAACTTTTCAACACTTACATGTACAAACTGAATAAATGAGTGTTATGCCCAAGAAGGATTTTTCACTTAAGCATTCAATTACTAAAGAATAAAAATTAAAACCTGAAAAATGAAAAGCCTCACACCTTTGTGATATAAAATTAAACACCTATCCAAATATATAACTTGGTGAAAATAAAATGTGAACTGTGAAACAGAAAAAAGGCTAGATAAACCATCACTCTACTGCTGACAGAATTAATCTTTAATGCCAAAAACTTAAAAAAAACCAACCCCAAAACTCAGAACAACAATCCAACCTTAAATAACTGGACCAAAATAGACACGAAAGATGAATGACTTTCTGGACAAAACTTTAGAAATAAAGTAGAAAATGGGCATACAAGAACAATGCAAATGAAGGAAGAAATGTCCCCTTTGTGTAAAAACTCACTTGTGATTCAGATGCTGGACTTCGCTTTTCATTAGCTTGAACAAGAATGTTAGTAATGACGGCTTGAGCATCTTGGACACAACTCCTTCTGGAATTGGGTGACAAAAACTTTCACTGAAGAGGCAAGACCTGAAAAACAAGAACCCAAGAATCTTCAAGATTCAAACAAATTCACTGATTAATTGATGAACAAGTGCCTCTTTTAAAATAATGCCAGAGTTTAAATAACAGTTTGATCAACAAATTATGGAACAAGTTAAACAAAGCTACATGATTAATATTTGTGCCTCCTTTATAAACGTAATGACAGGTCGAACCCTCCAGCAGTTATCCTTCTATTACTTCTAGCAATCGGTATATTTTATCATTGCATGTTTTAAAGAATACCGACCTAATTTCTCTAATTCTTCTCAGTGATTGCAATGTTCAACTGTCTTGTGTTATTGTCTTCACATCTTTCTTATTGCTCTGATAAATGGGAGAATGATGAATACTGAACTTAATTGGTGTAGGCCCTTAGCAAATAAAAAATTACCTTGAATATTTAGTGCTTTCAACTTTACCTTCCTCTTCCTACAAAATCATCTCTATGTTCACTGTTTAACAAAGCATAGTTATGAAGTTTAAAAAAAATCACAATTTTGTTCCTTTTCATCTTCTCCAGTGTTTCTCATAGAGTAGGTAAGAGTCAGATTACTCAGAGGCACAGAGTCATGGAGGTATAATGGGAAGAACAGGGGACTCTGAAGTCAGACGTGTATGACCCTGGGCAAGTCACAACCTTACTGGGCTTCAGTTTCTTCATCTGAAAAACGAAGGGGCTTAACTGGACAGTCTCTGAGGTCCCTTCCAGTTTTCCATCTATGATCCAATGAGCCACAGAGATAGGATGAAAAGATAATTTCTTCCAAATTTATATGTCAACACTATTGGTAATGTCATTTTATGACTGTACTCTCATTTTCTGTTCACTTATGCTGGCTGTATTATGTTGTTTATACACGGTTTCTCATCATCTCCCCCCCCATCTACTATGAGGTAGCTAGGTGGTATAGTTCATAGAGTGCCGGACTTGGAATTAGGCTAGACCTGAGTTCAAATCCTGCCTCAAACACTTACTACCTCTGTGACTCTGGGAAAGTCACTTACCCTTTCTTAGCCTCAATTTTCTCATCTGTGAACTGGGGATAATACTAGCATTTATTTCCTAGGGTTGTTGTGAGGCTCAAATGAGATAATATATGTAAAAGCACTTTGCAAACCTTAAGGTTCTAAGTGATATCTATTATTATTACTACGACAAACCATGGCTCAGCTGAGAATATTCTTCAAACTAGGCTAGCAAACAAGGCCCTCCACAACTTGATTCCAACTTCCCTCTCCAACTACCACTTTAAAACACAAACCACTTAGTTTTAGCCCAGACAGCTCTCTGAATATAAGGCTCCTGCCTAACATCCCACCAAACCCCCTGAGAGAAGATGTTTGGTAGAATGGAAAAATCACTGGCTTTGGAGACAGAGAATCGGGAGGTAGGTGGAGGTTAAGGGATGAGAAGAGAAGAAAAGATTTCAATTCTATTCAGCCAACATTTATTAAATGCCTACAAACAGGGCCCTGAGGAGATAAATGAAAATTGACAGTCTCTGCTATTAATGAGTTGCTATCTAGTAGGGAGATGAGTATATTGGGGTTCTTCACTTCTTTGTGTCATGGACCCTTCTGGTATTCTGGTGACGCCTCTTTGCAGAATAATATTTTCAAAAGTATAAAATAAATTACAATGGAGTACAAAGGAAATCAGCTATATTTAAGTAAAGATTTAACCTCTCCCTCCATTCAAGTCCATGGACCACAGGTTAACAACCCCTAAACTAATATGTACACAAATAATTATAAGTGATACTGAACAGGAAAAGTGAAAGAGGGGCATAAGAAGCAAGAATGAATTGCCCTAGAGGTTCAGAGAAGGCATCAAAGCAGGATGAGTTTATACCTCAGCTCAGCCATGAAGGAAGATGAGAATTTTCATAGGCAGAGACAGAAAAGGGAATGTCCCAGGCAAGGGGTGCTGTGTACAAAGGAAGAAGGAGTGAGAAGTGACAAGACTGCATGGAGACAGGGGAATGAGGAGTCCAGTTTAGCTGGAACTTTAGATGAATGCCACTGTAAAATAAGGGATGCTGAAGCCAGACTTTGGAAGGCCTTGAATGCTGGGTTAAGGAGCTTATGTTCTATTGCAAAGACAATGTGGGGTGGGAAGGAGGGAAATAAAGAGGATATTTGAACTAGGAGTGACATGATCAGACCTAAGGATTAGAAAGAACACTTTGGCAGCAGTACGAAGGATGGACTAAAGAGAGGAGACACCAGAGGCAGACAGAACATTTAGGTGACTATAATAAAGTGAGCATGTCACTTAACTGTTTGCCTCAATTTTCTCATCTGTAGAATGAGCTGGAGAAGGAAATGGCAAATCACTTCAGTATCTTTGCCAAGAAAACCTCAAATGAGGTCCTGAAGAGTTGGACATGACTGAAATGACTTAGCAACAATGGTTCATATGAGAGGCAGCAAGGTTCTGAGCCAGCACGACTATAAAGGAGATAGAAAAAAGACAGATGCTTGTTACATTGTGCAGACAGGATAACTAGAACCTGACAAATGACTGGACATGGAGCACTGAGTGGAAGGGTAGAGCCAAAGGTGACTCAGAGGGTCCATGCTTAGGTGACTTTGGGAATGGTGATATGATCCAAACAAATAGGAGAGGTAGGAAGGAGGGTAAGTTTTGAAGGGAAGATGATGAGGTACTCATCAGTTTGCAAGGGTAGTATACTACCTTCAATCTGAGGTGGTGATGGGATAGCTAGATGGAGATGACTGCCAGGCATTTGGAAATATAAACCTGGACTCAGAAATAGCAGGATCTGGAAATATATATATTTGAGTCCTCTTTATAGAGACGATAATGAAGTCATGGGAGTGGATGTGATTACTAAAGCAGAGAATATTTAAAGAAAAAGAGATCTGAAGGTAGAGCTTGTGAGATGCCCACACTTAAAGAGTGGAGAGAAGAAATGGAATCTTAGTAAATAAAAGGGAATTTTAAGAGAAGTAGGAGAAACAGGAGAAATAAATGTCCCAAAAGTGGTTATGAAAGAATATCAGGAAAGAGGAAGCAGTGAATAGTCATTAAGGTCAGATGCTACAAACAGGTCAAAGAAGAGAACTGAGATTGCTGATTGTTTTTATCAATTATGAGTTCACCTAAGACCTGGAAGAGAACAATTTCAATACAGTCGTAGCAATGTACCGTTGAAGCTGATGAGTGAATGAGTAGTAAAGAAAGAGAGCCAGTGATTATACACTACTTTTTTTTTTTGAAAGTTAGTTGTTATAGGTGGTAAGGGATGATGACATGGCAGGTTCAAAAGAAGGATATTTTTTAGTATAGGGAAGACCTATGGGCAGAGAAAAAAGAACAACTGAGAAAGGCTGAAGATGATACAGAGAGGCAATGAAAGCTAAAACATAACCAAGTTTCCCCAAACAGACTGGTCTCAACAGCCAAGACAATGTCTTACACATTTTTGTAGTCCCTAGGACAATGTGTTGTATGTAGCATGTGTAATAAGAGAGAGACAGAGAGAGAGAGACACAGAGAGACAGAGAAAGAGAATGAAAAGTGGGCTCAGGACACATTTTTGTAGTCCCTAGGACAATGTGTTGTATGTAGCACGTGTAATAAGAGAGAGACAGAGAGAGAGACACAGAGAGACAGAGAAAGAGAATGAAAAGTGGGCTCAGGACAGAGGGATATCCATAGTTAATGGGTACTTTATTTTAGCTCCTTAACTAGACTATAAACCGTGTGTGTGTGTGTGTGTGTGTGTGTGTGTGTGTGTGTGTGTGTGTGTGAAGGAGATCAGGTCTTAGAAATCTTGGCCTAGCACAATGCTAGCACAAAGTAAGCCCTAGATAAATACTTGGTGACTGTTTAGTTAATAATTATGACGCCGCAGTCACCAGTCATGTAAGTTATGATTTCAATTTTGGCCCAGTACTACACTTAATACATTGTTCCCCTTCTGTCTAACATTAATAGTTATTTCTTTTTGGATTAACAAATAGTCTGTTGTTCCAAAGAACAAGAAAAAACATTCAGAATGCATTACTATGTATGCTCTAGTAACTGACCCAATGAAAATAAAATATGAATACTGTAAGGAGTATATTTGACTTTGATATATAAATTATGTTCATTCTAGGTAAAAATGTATGAATACATTAAAGGTTTCTTTAGGTATACATATTAAAGTTAGTATTAATATAATACAATAATATAGAATTAAAAGAATAAGACCTGATAACATTTCTCTAAAATAATTATCCTGGATTAACCACAGTAGCCATATTCAGATCCTTTATGGAGAAACCGTGGGTTTGCTATGGAGGATTTTTCTGGTAAAATGGAAAACAGAGTACACAGAGTGAGAAGATTAGTGGATGAAGAAGGTGTGTAGGAATTTGAAATCCAGTTTAACGAAGAAAATGTCACAGATGAAATACCTAATTCAAAAGAATCAAAGTGACTATTTTATTACAATTTCTTTCCCAGTTTCTTGACTATACAAGTAAGCAATTCCCTTAAAAATTATCGATGTTACTATGAAGTAGCACCTCTAAAGTAAGTGAAGACATCGTGCACTGAGTCTGTAGTTGCTTTCCCCCCTAGTTTTAAGGGATTTGAAAACAGAAATCACTTAAAATTTTAATTTCCAAGGTAAAAGGATCATAGAATAATAGAATTTTAGAGCTGGAAGGAACCTGAGAGAGATAATCTACTAGTCCAACCTCCTCTCATTTCATAAATTAGGTAAATGGAAATAAAAACAAAAACCCAAAGAACAAAAATAAAAACTCGGAAACATTCAACACAAAGAAATACTTAAACAAGTGTACCTCAAAGTTTTTAGATTTAATTTATAATCCTCTATGTTTATTTATATTACTGTTTTTAAAAAATCAAATACTTGTATGCTATTTTTAAAAATACCTATTTTTATAGCTACATGCAAACAGGCTGTCTCTAACGTACAAATAGCCCATGTTCCAAAAACTCATTT